GGACCGGTGAGCAGAGCAAAACACACAAGAGTTAGACCTAACACACTTAGCTATTTTATCTACCTTTGGAACTAGTTATAAATATATTTATTCTTCACTGTCACTCATTACTGGATCAGTGAGCTGCATGAGATACTGACAGGCAGTCAGGAGAGAGAGAGAGAGGGGGAGAGAGGAAAAGAGAGCGCTTCCGCTCATTTCTCCCGTGTTATTATCTATGGTTATTATCCAAAGTTAATGTAAACTTGAATAATGTAGGCTACTTCATTTGAATGTAACAATTATGTTGGTTGTTGTTTGTGGAAGCGCCAGTGAATGAGCCCCATTAACTGAGCCCCATTAACTGAGTTTTAAACATCACTTTACACGAGTGTTTTCGTCGAGCTATTCAACCCCCCCCCCCCCCGTTGATAATTCTCGATCGTCGGCACGCTGATAATTTTTTTTTTTAGAATGGCACTTCATATCAAAAAGGTTGCCGACCCCTGGTATAGTGTGTCATAATAAAAGTCATAGGAAAGTCAAGTATATAGTATAGCAAAAAATTCATAAGAGTGATTAAAAGTCACAAGAATTTCATTACAATGTTTGCCAAAGAGAAGTTACAAAAAACAATGACATTTTTCATAAAAAGTCGTTTAAGTCTTAGTAAGCGCAAACCTTTAAATGTCTTCAGAACGTCCTAGGAAAGTCATAGTATAGTGTGCCATTAAAAAAAGTCATAGCATATTGCAAAACATTATAAAAATTGATTAAAAGTCACAAGCATTTCATTACAATGTTTGCCAAAGAGAAGTTACAAAAAACAATGACATTTTTCATAAAAAGTCATAGAAAATTAAATTAAATTCACAATAATTAGCAAATAATGTCCTTAAAAGGAGAAATGCCTTTAAGAAATCATAAATAGTTTCTAAAAGTCATTAATAATGAGGTATAAAATACATTTCATTATTTTTTTTTTTTATTTTTTTTTTAAAGGTGATTATTACTCGTCATGATAAATATAACTTAAACCTTTCTTCTTTGTATGACCCAGTGGCTCACCTGGTAGGGCAGGTGCACAGTGAGCCAGGAAGAATCCTAGATGCCAGGGTTCGTATCCCCCCTGCGGCTGCAGTGCTGCTTTTCAGGACCAAAAAAAGCAAAAATTTGGGAAAAAAAAAAGATTTTCTGCAATTTTTTTTTTATCCTGACCTACTCATTCTGCTCTCCTACACTACCTCCCTCTCCTACCTCTCTTATCCTACCTGCCTCTCCTACTCTACCTGCGCAACGCGACACTCCTACGTTACATGACCCTACGCTTCCTGCCTCACTTACTATGAACTACCTGAACTGCCTGCCTCACTTGCCTCATCTCCTGTGCACTACCTGCCTCATCTGCTGTGCACTAACTGCTGCAGCTACTCTGCCTAACTCAGCTACTCTGAGTATCGAACCCCGTACATGCTAAGCGACAGACCTGAACTCGACACCAGCGCCTTAATGCCGAGAACAGACCCAATCCGGCCACCATCACATGTACATGAAGACCTGTGCTCCGGGCGCATTTATCTTCTTCATTTTGAGTAAAGCACTTTAAAAATCACTATAGCTCACGAGGACTCGAACACGCAACCTCAGGTCTTCTGACCTGACACTTATCCCTCTGAGCTATCTGTCCTGAGATGATCACATTTCGAAGAGCTTATGACCGGTTCATTTGGGTTTTTGAACCTTAAAGATTACTGCACCTGAAAAGCCTTGAACCCACAACCTTCAGTCTCACAGTCTGTGTTCTATCCCTCTGAGCCACTTGACCAGTGACTGTTATATCTCATTTGGTAAATTAATTCTCTACTTTGGGTAGTTAGACTTGGATAATGCATGGACCTCATGAGGATCGAACCCAAGACTCCTGCTCACCTGAGCAGCGTTGCATCCCATTAAGCTATTTCATTTGAGACAGTCTTAAGTTGTTTGGTAGATTATGGCACAAAGAAAATGTAAAAAAGGGAAATAAAATAAGTCATAGTGTAGTGCATCCAATAAAACTTAACTGAGTTAAGTGTCACACAATTGTGTCACAAACATTTGTAAACGAAAAACTACTCTGTACGCTTTTTTCACATAATTTGGATGTTTTACCTGAAAAACAGGTGCAAATAAAGAGGGTTGAACCAAGAACCTCCAGACATCAAGGCATGGTTTTATCCCAGTCAGCCATCTGACCTGGTCCAATTATTTTTTGTTTGGTAATCTAATTCTACACTTGAAGAGTGGGTGTTGAAGATCAGAGACATCTCTGCACCTCATGGGGATCGAACCTAAAACCTCAGTTCTTCTGAACAATAGTGCATCTCACTGAGCCATTTGATCTGAGTCTTTGGTATTGTGTTTGATAGACTTTGTGATACAAAGGATATCTCAAAAAGTCATACTCTGCACTACCTGCCTCACTTACTCTGCACTACCTGCCTCACTTGCTATGAACTACCTGCCTCACTTGCTATGAACTATCTGCCTCATCTACTGTGCACTACCTGCTGCAGCTACTCTGCCTAACTCAGCTACTCCAAGTATCGAACCCCGTACATGCTAAGCGACAGACCTGAACTCGACACCAGCGCCTTAATGCCGAGAACAGACCCAATCCGGCCACCAACACATGTACATGAAGACCTGTGCTCCGGGCGCATTTATCTTCTTCATTTATTCACGTTTTTGGCACTGGCGGATGCGGAATTGCGAAACATTGGGGGGAACCTTATCGTTGGGGGGGGCGTAAAACCAGTCCCGAAGCGATCGGAGCTTCCTGTCAAGAGTTATTCAAGGAAAACCGATTTGCCTTCAGGCCTCCCTGAAGGTGCCCACCGAGTTTGAGGCAAATCGGTTTGCGAAGACACCCCCCAATGTTTCGCAATTCCGCATCCGGCAGTGCCAAAAACGTGTCATTCGGAGGTTGTTTTGTGATTTTGACGTTTGTGAGATTTTTCAAAGTATGCTTTCTGCACAACAAAAAAAAGAAAAGTTGTGCAGAAACCATACTTCGACCAGACCGTAAAACCGGTCCCGAAGCGATCGGAGCTTCCTGTCAAAAGTTATTCAAGGAAAACAGGTTGTTCAGAACGTGCACAACCGATTTGCTTGAAATGGTCGCAAGTCATTCCAACAGCTGGGAATACACACCCCACTTGATGTGTGCATTACCCCCACCCCCCTGAAGGTGCCCACCGAGTTTGAGGCAAATCAGTTGTGCACATTCTGAGCATATGCTAAGCAGCTGACCTGAACTTGGCACGGGCGCCTTAATGCCGAGAACAGACCCAATCCGGCCACCATCACATGTACATGAAGACCTGTGCTCCGGGCGCATTTATCTTCTTCATTTTGAGTAAAGCAATTTAAAAATCACTATAGCTCACGAGGACTCGAACACACAACCTCAGACTTTCTAACCTGTCTCCTATCCCTCTGCGCCATCTGACCTGAGACATCAATGTTTCGTAGAGCTTATGGCCTGTTCATTTGGGATTTTGGACCTTAAAGATTACTGCACCTGAAAATCTTCAAACCCACAACCTTCAGTCTCACAGTCTGTGCTCTATCCCTCTGAGCCAATTGACCAGTGACTGTTACATCTCATTTGGTAAATTAATTCTCTACTTTGGATGGTTAGACTTAGAAAATGCATGGACCTCATGAGGATTGAACCCAAGACTCCTGCTCACCTGAGCAGCGTTGTATCCCACTGAGCTATTTCATTTGTGAAAGTCTTAGGTTGTTTGGTAGATTATGTCACAATGAAAATGTAAAAAAGGAAATAGAACAAGCTATTGTGCAGTGCATCCAATAAAACTATCCTTGTAAGTATGTCATACAATTGTGCCACCAACATTTTAAAATTAAAAACTCTTTACTTCTCTAGGCTTTTTTCACACCATTTTGGATGTTTTACCTGAAAACCAGTGCAAATAAAGAAGATTGAACCCACAACCTCCAGTCTTCAAGGCAGTGTTACTTCCCAGTGAGCCATTTGACCTGGGCCAATACTTTTTCGTTTGGTAATCTAATTCTGCACTTTGGGTGTTAAACTTCCAAAAATCTATGCACCTCATGGGGATCGAACCCAAAACTTCAGCTCACCTGAGCAGCGTCGTATCACCCTGAGCTATTAGATTGAGACAGTGACCTGTTGTTTGGTAGATTATGTGACAAATAAAAATGTAAAAAAGGAACTAAAATAAGTCATAGTGCAGTCCATCTGAAAAAAACTGTCCTTATAAGTATGTCACACAATTGTGCCACCAACATTTTTAAATGAAAAACTCTTCTCTAGGCTTTTTTCACACCATTCTTTTGTACTTCCTCTGTGGGAAATTGGACTTATAAAGTTACTGCACCTAATAAGAATCAAACACACAACCTCAGATCTTCTAACCTAACATCTATCACACTGAGCTGTATGATCAGATGTGGTTCCTTCATTTTGTTAGAGCTTTTGATTTCTTCTCTCTTGGTGTTGGATCTAACGATAAATTGATAAACATATTGCACACTGTGGGAGTTGCACTCACAACCTCAAGCTTTCTGAGAGCTTCTTTATCACACTGAGCTAATCCATCTGACAGGCAGAGTTACATAAAAATACAGTATGCAATAAGAGCAACTCGTGAAATAAGTCATTAGTTTAGGAGTTGAGCCAAAAAAGTCACATTACCTTAATAAGAATTGAACTCATAACCCTAAAGCTTACAACGATCAAGTATGCATTAAAATGTTCTTAGTCGGCTTATCTTAGTACGCCGAAGAGTGAAAAATAATGTAATACAAACAATCACCTCTTAAACTTTATTGCACGGTCATTTTATTTCCAAAAGCAGGTTTTTAGGGCCTGTTAACACAGAGTATGAATACACAAACTGTTCAACTGCAATATTAAACATTTGAGGAAATGCATGAAGAATTTTAAAATAAAAACACCAAAATGGAACATTTTAAAATACCAAACATGTTAACTAATTGATTTCAAAAATGTTGAACAGCTCCACGTTTGCCTCCTCGGCAGCCATGTGAAGACACGTCCTTCCACTTTTTTGATCCTGCACAAAACAATGCAAGCTTCAAAGTGATGCGACAAGTGTGACATGTACCAAAGTCAAATGATTTGAATAGTTACCTTCGTCCCACTGGAGGCTCCCGTAAGCAGGAGAGTCTTGATACACTCGACGTACATGTGTGCCCTCTGCGCCAGCTCCTTTGCCATATATGAGCACAGATTTCCCAGAGTCCTCAGCTCTTTAACCACAGCGTTGTGAGACAAGACAGCTGCATGCAATGGAGTTAAACCTGAAAACAGAGAACAGCAGGGTTAAATCACAAGGACACTTCCTACAAACCAGCTTTAAACTTCAATAAAACATACTCACCATCATAGTTGAACATTTCAATATCCACCTGCTGACCAGTCACCTTTAGGGTCCTGCAGATGCTCTGTGGAAATACATGTGTTGAAAATAGGTCAGAAAAAAAGTAGCTTTAAGCATTTGAATGGGTGCACAAGGGATACAACGTTATGAATTTGAAATGAAAACTGTTATTATTAATTGCATCGAGACAGCACAGCAGAAGAAAAACAACAGCAAAGAGAGATCAGCGGAGTGGTATTCAACATGTAACACCTCACAGAGAGAGACAGAGGAACAACAGAGTCAGCGTGAGGATGCAAAGGGGAAAGGAAGAAATCACAGGGGAAAATCTGAGAGGAAAATCAGCCAAATCTGCCCGCTGCTGCAAGCATCCACTACAGCAGGGATTCCCAACAAGAGGGGGGGCTTCTGCAGTACAGAAGGGGTGCAGCTCGACCAATTTAATAACAAAACTAACAGCATGTCCTTATGATCTACTCAGACACCGCGGCAATACATTTGCAGTCCTTACATTTCTACCTTCTGCCACTTTAAGAACAAATGCAACAATTAAAAAATAACAATTCCAATAATCCTGTCAAAATATAGTGGAAAAGGTTTTCAAATAATACTGTGGAGATTTTGTTGGAAAGCTTTTTTTTAAATGTATGAAAAATTCATATATTACTATAAACAAAAAAAAGAAGAAAGATAAAATACTGTGATAATATTGAAAAAATATCTAAATTGTCCATTTACTGCTGTAAATATATTGTTGAAATTGCAGGGAAAGAATACGATTTTGAAACAATTGCAGTGTAGAAATACTGTTAAAAAAACTGAAAAATCACTATAAAACTAACAATACGACGGTTGGATCGCTGGATAAAGTTCCTTAGTCAAATGGTTGGATTTCATTCAGCATTAAATTGTGATGGAACACTTTGTATATATTCAAAAGTGGCTCCTCTGACATTAGAATCCTAACCACCAAAACGTATCATCGCCATTACTCTGCAGCCATGACAACGGCATCAATAACCAGATCTCAGAGGCTTCCTCTCAACACAGCCCATCTTCCACCGCTCAAAGACGGATATGCTAACAAGTAAGACCATGAGGAGGCAACGGGGAAACCAACCGGCCACATCTGGGAGGTGAGGTCCTTCATTTAGAAGCTTTTAGTAAAAGAGAGATATTGCAATTCTAGGTTTTCATGAGGAAATAGGCCTGGTGCACCCACTATTGTTGTCTCCAGGGCCAACGGTGCTTCAACAAATAATGTCCCACTGTCAAACGCATATTGCAACAACCTGGTAGCCTAAATGCCATGCTTAGTTTCCAGCTTTGGCAAATATCCCAGCATCTTTAAAAAATATATATAATTGCACTTATATTAGGGCTTTTATGTTGCTTACAAAAGTATATTAGCTTATAAAGCCACACAGGTATATACATTATCTTTATGAAAAGGTCAGGGACCACATCTTCAAGAGAAGTAACATGTTCAACAACATTTGAAGACTACTTGTGACAGTTGTAGTTAGTTTTATATATTTATCTTCCATTTTATTTTTCTTATGTATTAAACCTTTTTATACTGTCTTTTGTATTTTTTTTTATACTGAGTTTTAACCAGTTTGTGTCAACACAATGTTTTTGTTGCCTTGTTGTCCAGGAAGCAGCCCATGACCGAATATCAGGAGAAGTTCCTCCCCCCAATCTCCTACAAGTCTTTTGTCACCAATTCCAAACCAAACGGGCCCTACCACCCGCTGAAGGGGACCAGCGCTGAGACGACCTCTTTTAGGTGAGGGTTAACGTCCGGTGAAACGGTTCCCTCTGGCTGTGGGAACCCTGAGGTCATCACTCACAGAGTTTAGGGAGAATTTGGGAGGATTAAGTGTTATTTTGTATCTGTATAAGACGGGCAAAATAACAAAAGCTAAATCTTGCATCGTTAATGTGTTTCAGAAAAGTCTATGTGACCCACAAGGCGGTCCCCATGCCACCAATGGCCCTGCCGCCGCTCCCCCCCCCGAAAGACTACCGCAAACGCATTGTGTTAAATTTGGGTTAGAAAAAGTACACTGCAATAATAAACGTGTTCCTTTCTCTTCGAGTTGTGCTGTTTAATTTCCTGAATTGGGATCAATAAAGTATATTTGATCTAATTTGAAAGTGCAAATAAAACACAAGCTCTTACATTTGTGTGGATCCAGGGCAAATTGATTCTGAAGGCAATGTCGGACAAAGTAAATCTAAACGTCTGAAACTGTTGGCCGGCAATGTTGAAGTACCTTGACCTTTGCAGGGAAAAATAGCAGCCCTTCTGCTCTCTGAAAGATTTTAGTTTCACTTACTGTTCATCAAACTTGTTGACGTCGTTGGAAAGGAGGTTGACGATCTGGCCCGTGGTGGTCTTTCCCATGTGTGTCACACAGATGCCTATTTATTTATTTAATTATGAATTTTGAATGTCCATGTTTGTACTAGTGTTTTCCTTCTTAAAATGTTTTTGAAATATTTTGAGATTTGGTTGAGCAGGGTATACTTGTACTTTTAACTAGTCCACTCCTTTTATTAGAGATGTGTCTGTGTTTGTTTTTAGTACCAGGATGGACCCCTTGTCTTTTTCTCTGCAAACTAAATCTACCTACGGGTACAAATAAATAACCTGAACCTGAAGTGCTCCAGCGACGCTCAGACACACAGTTCAATCTTTAAGAATATTTGATGGTTTTTCTCAAACAAGGTACATGCATTTTCTCAACGTTTTTATAAAAAGCGTTTGTGTAATTTCATTTAATGCCTTTCTTTACCAATTATAGATTGTAATCATATTTTGAAGTTGTCTTTTTGGTGTGATAATACATTAAAATAATGTAGATACAATGTTTTTATTTATTGTGAAATATTCTTCTGATATTTTTGGGGTGATTTTCAAATTTCTTAAATGTTATGTTCTTCTGAAAATGTTTGATACCATCAGATGAAGGTTGCAAAATGATCAATGTACTGAATTTTAACGCTGGGCATCAAAGATTTATCTCATCTGATCTTAAGTTTATTTCCTAAAAAAAACAGTTGATCTAAAATGATTGACACCTATAAATCTGAGAGTTTGTAGAGAAGGGAAAACGTCAACAAGTTATTCTACACCGGAGGCCTGAGGCCTCTGAGGCCTGTACTACGAAGCTGGTTCAACCTAACCTGGATATGTTGGAGTTAGCCGGTTGGCCTAAGCCAAAACATACGCGCTGGCGCTAAACTGTACTACGACGCTGGATATCAAGTGGATCGCTCAAGCCGCCGTGTCCTATCTAGTTAGGTGCGCGTTCACATGAAAGGGGTGGTATTTGGAGCATTCGACCAATCTCAAACACGGAGAAGCGTACTGACAGCGCAGCGTCATACTTCCTGAATGAAAAGTGAACTTTAATATTAGTCAAATACGAAGAAGTTAAACTTTAAACATCCATGTCTTAAACACTTTATCCAGGATAAAAGCCACATAGCTGCACCTGCAAGGTGAATACAGCTGGTAAAAGAAAAAGTGTTTGAATGCGTACATTAACAGGTTTATGAAATCACTGCCCCGTCCAAGACACGAGTGGATCTGACTTTAATTAGGAGAATTTGACTCGAGTGTTTCGTCAACTTAATGTGTTGCTTAAAATAATACTTCTGCATACAGTATGTGACACTGTGAGTGTTGCACGGCCAGATACGGCTCAAGAAGCTGACTCAAATAAGGAAATATATGATACATTATGATGTGATATGATATGAATGATAATGGGACACATCTACGTCTGCACTCACAGTGCCGCGGACTGTATTTAATGTTACTCTGATCCGGTTACTTATGTCGTGGCAGATATTTAAGTAAGCTTTCTTAACGCTAATGTTATAATAGTCAGATTGCTCTGAAGATGGGAGGGGATATTCTATTAATTTTCACGTTCACACAGTCAGTTGATTTTGGCCGGCAGTCTTTCCTGCAACGGCAGTTTTTCTGTATTTCCTCTATCCTGTAATATGAATTGATCGCTTTAAACTCCGCACACGGAGCTCTGATTGGTCAGCAGGCAGTGCTTTCACTGAGTTGATCTCTTAGCCTGCCACCTAACCTGCTCCGGAGCAGGTTTGTCGCTCAGCATAAGTTACCATGGAAATCTAGCCTGCTAAAAAGAGAACCAGCGTCGTAGGACCGGAAAGCCCGAGATTTCCCTGAATTTAGCCGGCTAAGCGAAAATCGAGCTTCGTAGTACAGGCCTCGGTGCCATGCTGCTTCTCTGCACGATGAGACTTCCGGGGTGTTTCCTGCAGAGTGACTCTTTCCCTGCAGAGTCCCATGTGGAAGTCTCTCTCATCGTGCAGAGAAGCAGCATGGCACCGGTGTGGAATAACTTGTTGACGTTTTCCCTTCTCTACAAACAACCTGCGCATTCTGCTATCCCGTCAACATTGGTAAGTAAATACTGTTAGTAGACAGTGTTGTTGTTTTACGCGTGGGTCAGGTTTACTCACAGTAACGCTAACATTTATCAGAAAGGTCTGAATGTGTTTTTGTGACGGTCCACTTCCGTGTTTACAACCTCACATGTTATACTAGTCAGATTGCTCTGAAGATGGGAGGTGATATTCTATTAATTTTCACGTTCACACAGTCAGTTGATTTTTGCCTGCCGTCTTTCCTGCAACGGCAGTTTTTCTGTATTTCCTCTATCCTGTAATATGACTTGATGGCTTTAAACTCCGCACAAGGAGCTCTGATTGGTCAGCAGGCGGTGCTTTCACTGAGTTGATCTCTTAGCCTGCAACCTAACCTCCTCCCGAGGAGGTTAGCCGCTCAGCATAAGTTACCATGGAGATCTAGCCTGCTAAAAAGATAACCAGCGTCGTAGGACCGGAAACCCTGAGTTTTCCCTGAAGTTAGCTAAGAGAAAATCCGGCTTCGTAGTACAGGCCTCTGGTGTGTGAGGTGCTCCGCGGATTGGTCCATTTGGGCCAATCCGGTCATTTGTTGTTGATTTGGGTGTTCACACGTCACAGAACCCAGGAAGCAAACAATGGAACATGAGAAATCTCCAACGAGGCATT